GAGTCAATTAAATAGTATATAGCTCGATTTACATCAATAAAACAACTGTGAAAGTCGATTTGGAATTAACCTTTACGATAAAAAATGACCATAATTGCACAATTGTCCCTTGCATATTATGTAACACATTCAAACAGCTGTATATGGCGTTGATATCTGCTAGTTGAACTAGGTGAACTTGAACAAAGGATGCTTAATGGTTAAGTTGATATCATATCTTAGAAACTTTTAGTAACGTCATCATACGTTGGAATTTATATTTGTCATGAATTAATGACAGCATTGAATGCAACTTATCCCTCAAATTTTACTTGTCATGACAAACATGACAGGTGCTACTAGTGGTACAGGAAATGCCTACCAATAAAAACACCTGCATTCAACCTATGAATAAATGGGGTCTTGTAAATGTTGCTATATATCCTTTTCTGTGTTGTATTTTTATGATATTTTATGTTGCAACGTCAGTACTATCTCTTTATGTTGTTACTGTCAATCTTTTGTTTTCAAACTGGTACATTTTGGTCATGAAATATGATTTTAATGTGTTTTATAAATTTGTTTATTCCGTTATACTATCTTATCGCCAGATATCATTCATCAAAATATCTAAACAGGAGTACCCGTCCGACATCAAGTAGAGCATGCGTTAACCCCCGGTTTGGTTTGGTGGGTTCTTGTTGATCTCTAGTTTTGTAGCGTTGTGTTGACTGTTGTTTGTTTTTCCATCTTTTTCGCTTAACTTACCCTCTACTTGGTGTCCATCGTCGTCTGTTACATCATTCTTCGCAATTCTTTGTATTTGAAACAACTTGGCAACTCGGCATTAAACCTAACTAGAATAGTTCTTGGAGTCTCAAGTTAAAAATGCCTGTAAATCATAATAGAATGACAAAACCTTTATGGCCTTCTTAAGCAAAAAGGATCATTATTACAAGATTTACAAGTAAGTCAATTTTACTAAAGATGTCAAACAACTGTCTGTAGGAGTTGTCGCCCCTAAAATCTTAATTATATCCCTTTTTTCTTTATTTTGGGTAAAATATGATAGAGAAGCCGAAACTGTATACAGCAATTATTACAAGCAAACATAAAAATCTCCATAAATGTCGAACTATTGAAAACGCCAAACCACTCCTGATAAGTATCATTGTCCTAAAAAGATGATTTTTGGACCAACTTTAGTGTCTTTACCTGATATCTTGAACACTATTATAGACATGAAAGATAGTCAGAAACTGTGAACAACAATAATGATCAATAGTACAAGATGGACAAAACGTCTTCTAGCATTTTTTTTGCGTTTTTGGATGTTTTCATGAAGACAAGTTCTACAAATAGAACACCATGACTTAAATGTCAATTAACTTCTTTTTTGAGAGTTTGCACTAAGATAATACATAAAAAGATGAGAGAAATCATTAAAAACATTGAAAATACTGGATAGCACAATGGATTATATCAATCATCAACACATGACTCATCCGAAGAAAATACAGACATGCAAACAAAGACAAATAACACATGATCCAGACAATCTGAATTGGTACAGTCACAACATTTTGTAGGGTTCAACCAGGTAAACTTGCACACGTCGCTTCCCTTGGCGCCAATCTAGACAAAATATCGCTAAACTAAAATACAATGATAAAAAACCTGCTGCGCAGTGCAACAGTATGACCACTGTATTGAACAAGGAAATAAAAACATGACACATTCCTTAAATAGATGGAAACATGTGATCTAATCGAGACTTAAAGTGATATAATTTGCAACCCAAAACAATTGCATGTTCTTTATATAATTCTAATTATTTATTATTTCAATGATGTTTAAAATAACTTATAGAAGTAATATTTTTTGTCATTATTTTTACAGTAACTCTTTATTTTCATACTCCTCTCAATCTAAATTAATTCTTAATTTAATGTAAAAATTCATAAAAACTTCATGTAGTCCATGCCTCTATTGAAATTTCAATGACTCTATTAGCAATGCTTCTTAAAAAAATGAAAACATTTTTATAAGACGGAAAATGCTATTTTCTGAAAAGAACACAGTATTTTTTACCGTGTGTAGAAGTGCCTAAAATACATTTCAATGTTTATCTTCAAAATAATTATTTACCTTTTCAAATGATTTAAACGCTATTCTAATACGGTAAACACTTTCTGTATTACACAATCGTTTACAATAAGATGGAACTGGCAAATCGAACCAATCATACCCTTTGTTTCATTGATATACGAACTCGTTCAGTATCCGATTAAACGATCAATTTTATTGCTTGTCACGTGTGTGTAAAAAGAAATGCAAATTGTTTTTATCATATCTATATAGTAAATCAAGAGTATATTTTGACTTGTACATATAGTATCGAATGTGGACAGAAAAGGCATATTATAACTTTAATTATTAATTGACAAAAGAAAGTATTATATTTTTATTAATTTCTTAATCCCTGTCTATATAAACAATCATTTTTTTCATAATATTTCAAGTTCTGACATAATAAACGTTTTCAACAGGTATACATATAGAAAACAATAATGACGTCATCCAATCGAATTGCAAAAGAGTCAATAACAAATAATACCCATGAACTTAGCAAAATTATTTCTTGAAATACTGCTAAAAAAATCTCATCCTGTTTAATTCAGTGACATATTTATAAAATGCATTTAGGTGAACATGAGTGTCACAAAATATTATCAAACATTATAAAGAAAAATATACATTAAAAGAAAAAAACACAGACAAACATATAATTGATTTATAGATTTCGTGCGTCTGGAATAGTCTTCTTTAGGAACGCTCAAACCTGACAACCAGGAATGCGTTAAAACGCTACAACGTTATAGAAGCCATTAGAATAATGATAAAATAATTCATTGCAAATGCTACTCAAAAAGTGTACACGTGTAGCGGGATAGAAATAAATGCGTACAACTGAAGGTTGCAAATTTGACAGAAATTGTCAGGTTAAATTCTTTTAACTCAACTGTATATCTTGTTGGTAAACAGACGTAATTTGAATAGATGTTGAAACCAAAGCTTTTGATTTTGCTTTTGTATTTGTAGGTTTAAAAAAATCGAAAAATAAATTCAAATGCAACGAATGCAAATTTTCAAGCAAGGAAGAAGAACATTTGATAAAACACAAAAAGAAGCACGACAAAGAATACTCGTTCAAGTGTACCTTCTGCGAAAAGTGCTTTCCTACAAAGACTAACAGTGATAGACATATCAGGTGAGTGCAAATACATTTCCTCTGTTTAGGTTTCCAAAAACGACAATACGGTTGGTTGGGATTTTTTGATATACAGAAACATATGACGAAGAAGTTGTCTTAATAGACAAAATTAGTTATCGAAATTAATCTGACGATAGACTGCCTAAACATCTGCCAAAAAAAGATAAAAGCTAGATCATTGTTATTCAAAAAGACACATGCATCGGAAGACTAGACACAACTGAAAATTAAAGCTGAAACTTCCAGACTAACATTATTGAGAGTGAGGGGGTTATGTACTATCATAAATACTGCATTACTTTACACAGAAATTTAAAAAAAAAGTCATCTCATCAAATTTCAATATTCGATAGAAAATATACCAGATTTCAGTTTTATGAATATGTAAAAAATATAAAACCTTTCATTTTCAGGCTCGGAAAAAATTCTTTGAGTTCAAAAGATGATGTGATGGAATAAGGTTGATCTAATTAATTCTTTATTTCTTTTGCATCTTATATGTTTATTTCTGAACCTGAATTAAGTATAAATATATTTAAAAAAAATTAACATTAAATACAATCAGATTTATCGACAGAAGACCTATGTTCGATATGGGAGATTAAACGGGAGGCAATCATTATCTAAATTCATGATTTTTTTTATATTTCATAAACTGTTGTAAACTTATTACAGAACTCATAAAGGGGAACGGAATTATGTATGTCGAAGATGCCAGAAATCTTTTACAACTAAAGCGAACTGTAAAAGACATATACGGTAATATACATTTACACAATCTGTTTAAGATTAAATGCTTTATTTCCAGTAATATAAGTGTTTATTATAAAAGTACAGAGATTTAAGTCTTTATGCAAGTTAAGATAGCTAATATATGCATTAAAACATCATCTAAAAAATGCCAAACCATGTACAAAAGAAGTGACTTTTAAAATTCAGAGCATAATATGAATGGAAAATGTAGAGGACATAGGAGATTTAGATCAGTTAGTATATATTAGAAAATGCAGGAAATCCGGAAGTCCATATAAAACACGGGAAACCTTGGTAACAATCTACTGAGGACAATGTAATAAATGTAAAATAAAAAAAAAATTGAATTAGGGAAACCTAGGTGTGAAAAACACAGGAAAATCTACAGGACAATATAAATCATAGAAATTCAGGAGGACAATGTAGAGCTCTGGTATTTTAGAGGACAATGTAAACACTGGAAATCTAGAAGACCATGTAAAACATGAAATGATTGTAACAGGATGCTGTTACGAAGTCCCCCAAACAAAGCCCCCATAAGTATAAACCCCCTAAAGTTCCCCCTATTATTCATTCATTTCTCTTTTTTTTAATATCTTGTGTAATTGAAAAATAAAATGGTGATGGTCAAGGGTCAAGGTTATAAGTGACCATTGACCTTTTGACTTAAGTAGGCCATATGTTCCCATGGTCATTACTGAAGACCCAATGTGTCTATCACTTACTGTTTTCAAGTAATAATCAATTGAAAATAGAAGAATGATAGTAATAAAGTAAACCCCTCCCTTCTTTTGGCCCCTCAAAGTACCCCTTTATAGACCCCAATGCACAAACAAAACACTGATTGCACCACTTGACATGTTAGTCTACCATAATGTGGAACCTTAAGTAAATCTGACTAGTTTTGGGGAACTGCTGTGGGCAAGTTCAAATGTGAACAATCGGCGGAAGAAGAAGATGATGAAGAAGAAGAAGAAAATAATAAGAGCTGAGCAAAACCAATAAGTCTCCAATTTTTTTTTTGGAGACTTAACAAGGTACATTAGTATGACAGTGTAAGGTATGTGAAAGGAAGATGTAAGAAATGGAAAGCTTCAAGAATATTGTAAGTCATGGCAAATTAAGAGGACAGTATACAATGACAAATCCAGATGACACTTTAAGATACGTTTAAGACTGAGAGAGTACTAAATGGAATACAGAAAGATGACAGTGCAAGATATGTTAAAGACAGATCATGGTATAAAAATTGGAAACCCATAGAATATTGTACATGTTGTAATATATCTGAATTACAGAGGACAATACAAAAAAGTGAAATCCAGATGATAATGTAAGAAATGAGAAAAACAGACATTTAGTACATAGGAATCCCACAAGACAAAGTATGTTACAGAAAATCCAGAAGTCAATGTCTTACATTGGAACACTCGAGGACAATGTAAAACAAGAAAGATAAGAAAGATAAGATACAAAGGGACAGTAATGCAGGAAAAAATCTAGGCATCCAGCAATTAATATATGACCAAGATAGTAAGCAATTGAGCCCTGGTAACAGCTTCATTAGCCTCATACAGAGAACAATATAAAACATAGGAAACAATGTCCTTGAAATAGCATTGTCGTGAAATCTATAGGTGTATTTTTGTCAAAAAATGTATGATAGAGTAGGTATTTTTGTTATTCAAAATATATGAAAAGGATGGGATACTGGATTTCTCAGTTGTTCATCACACCACAAAAGGATTGAAACAGTCCCCTGAGGTGAAATGCATATGCAGAAATTAAACAAGAAAAAAACTCAATAGCAGTGTAAGCTATACGAAATACAGAGGGCGATATAAAACCTGGAAAAGCAAAGAGTATACAAAAAAATAGAAACCAAAGGTAAATGTGACAGACGGAAAACTCAAAGGGCAATGTATGATATTGAAAATTAAGTGAACAATAGCAGGAATGTAAAACTGTAGGAGGATAATGTATAGATGAATCGAGGAAACATTGTAATTCAGGGCAGAAATAAGTTGAAAATAGATGTAGAAGTTACAAAAAATCATACTAATTTGCATTAATAACTTTTAGGTTTTCGAAAGCGTACCATTGAAATTGTGGTGTTAAGCTACTTTAAATATTGCATATATAAACAAAGTATATGTTTTAATGTGCTGGAAAAGATTAACTCTAAGAATTGTTCATGTCATTTATTAATTTCGTCCAAGAAAAATCTAGAATCAACTGCGATTATGAAACGATGAAATTATCCATCTTTTATTAATTTCAGCGAAAAACATACAGATATAGCTGTTGTTGAAGAGGAAATAAAGTATGAACCTTCGGGAACGAAATGCATTTATACAAAAGGTAAGTACCGTTTAGGAATTAAAATATTACCATGCTGTAAAGCTTGAAAATCTTAATGATGTTGAGTATATACGGTTGCAATCCTAAATTGTTTTATCATGATAATGTCCGAATTTCTTAATTTATTGGTTCTTTTCAAATTAGCTATAAATCCCAATTGATTTTGCAATTTGGAAATGGACTCTCCGTGTTGAATTTTCCTTGGAGTTCGGTATTTTTGCTATTTTACTTTTAACTAAGTCACTCTGGCATTAATACCTTTTTTCATGCCTCTGGCTTTCAGCACAAGTATTTTTCTATGCTTAGGCAGCAGCCCGTACTTGTGTGCTGACATGAATTATCACTGATGGAGTCATTATCTGTTAACGCTTTAATCGGTATAAGCACTGTGTGTTACCTTTTCCGATGCACAGATGGCTTATAATTAACCAGATTAAGCACAACTTTTTGTAACATTTTGTGTTCAAGGCTCTCCACCTTTGTATTTGAAAATGCCTCAAAACTTTTGATTCAAGTGTCATCCATAAGTTTTTAATTGAAAAAGCGTGCGTTGGCGTGCAGCTTTATACGCCTTGTTTACCTGATGAGTTTTGTAAACACTGCGTCATTTCTACTGCTAATGGACACCAAGTCTCACTTTTTATTAGATCATGTAATTCTTTATATTTTCATTCAAATATTTGTCTTTTATATTTCTGCCTAGTCTACCTTTATATTTAGATAGAACTGCGGAATGATACACGTAGCCCACTTTTATAAAGAATAGTGTACACGGTGCGTCGTACTGATGTTTATTTTTGACATTGTTACCTGTAAGAAGTAAATTATTTGTTTAATTGTACGTTCATTCAGGGAATCTTAATCATTCAGGGAGGGATGCAATAAGAAATACAGATGGATTCTGTTCATCAGTCAAAGTCACCACATGTCTACCAGCGCACTCGGATGGTAATGCAAATTATGAAGAGTTACAAGCTATAACAAATGGGAACAGAGTGTCGGCAATTAATAAGGTTAATGAAGAGAATACTAAAGACATAACAAGCATAGCAATAGATGAAAACAATAAAAAAGTTCATACTCATGTTTTGCCAGGTTCTAAAAGGAAAATACAGAGAAGTTATTCTGAATATACATTTGAAGCGAAAAAAATCAAAAAAGAATTAGATAAAGACATAGAAATTATAACAAAAACTAATCAGATAGACGATCGAAATAGTAGTTCAAAGAAGACCACCATGAAAAAGTCTTTGGATAGAATAGACTTCAAAATAAAAACAAGCGACAACGAAACTAACGATAATTTACCAATTTTGACGAGTCCTAAAAAATCCTTAAAGAAATCAAGAGAAAATAATTGTAGGCAACGCGAAAACAATGTATTGCCAGAGTTGAAGAAAGAAATTCAATCTGAACATCACAATGATTTAAGTTCATCTTCTTCCCTAAGTCTTTTTTCTAGTGTTGTTCCCTTAAAAGTTGAAAACAGAGAAAGTTTGAATGAGTTTCCAGGAACAAACGGCTTTCAGATTAATTTTAAAGGTTGGAATGAAGACGACACAGTATTGACAAATCACAACACAACAGTTGAAGTTGTTGTTGATATCGATTACAAAACAAAGGAAAACACTTTTAGTGTGACAACACAATGTGAAATGTTACCTGATGTTGAAAGACAAAAGAGCCATATTAATTGTGATAACATCAAAACTGGCAAAATGTCATGCAGTTTTCAAAATTGTGACGTGATGGATACAACAAATGAATTTGGTATGTATGGTGAAGAATATGATTTAAGTAACGACTATGTAACAATATTACCTGTAAAAAAATCCTATGACAGTTATAACTTGGAAATAGAACAAAAAAATGCCGAAGAACACACATCTGGTTCGATCTCGAAAGTGAATTGTTCTATTAAAATGTTGGATGATTCTTCTCCAGTTCCTTTAATATCTAAAGACCAAGACACTACGAAAATACCTTGTACACATGCGGAATGTAAGGACAATATATTGGGAAAGGAACGTAACGTAGACAAACTACGAAAAGCCGGAATGACAAAAGAGAAAACCAATCCAAGAGGTAGCAAAAGCGAAATATCTTCACTATCAAATGGAGCTGCAGGGTCCTTAAATAAAAGAAGTAAAGAGCGATCAAGCAACGTTTTCTCGAATCATAAATATTTTTTGGAAAAGGTCCTGAATTGGAAACCTGTGTGGTTTGATGAGTACGGTAAGCATTTGTCATAATTCAACTGTTCTCGCTGTCTTCAATATTTGCTATTGTGACGTCAAAGTAAACCATGTCTTAAGACGTATAAATTGCACATGTTTGCACATCATTAAAAATTATGTGAATGTTTGCCTTAATATTGTCTGAAGATTAAATATATCAGACTTTATCACTCAATAACGTTGGATAAAACTTTCTCCACTCTTGGCAGTTACATTTTGAATAAACGTTCACTATGCTGCATGTTTTAAAATTTTACCTGTTTCGAGTAGTGAATAATTGTACATTATGCGATACGTGGTAGAATATATATGTGTATAACCTTTTTACATAAATATGAAACTTATATGATCCAACCAGTACTGTTCTGTTTGTTAATTTTGAATGCATCATAACTAAATATTACTTATCATGATAGATATAAAACGAAAAAGCTCAAAACTGGATTAAACATAGGATCACGATACGACTATATAAAGGATTGATAGATACTGCATACCGTATTCAAATTGGAGGGTTTTACATTTTATTTGCTTATGGATTTTAAAACAATTAGTTTTCTTCTTGTTTGGTACAATTTTAGTTCTTGCTTTGCACTTATGTTTGTTCATTGTTTGAATTCAAACTTTAAAATGCAAAATAAAGCACTTCCATATTATCCATCGGCTTTGATCCTGAAAATAAGAAATACTAGTGTTATCACTGTTTAATCAAACATCTAAACTTGCCGATATTTTTTTTTCCAGAAATATTTAAGAAGACACCGCCAGATATTTCTGAAGGCGTAAGTCATCTCTTATCAGCATATGACAGCCATCAGGATTACTTCAATACATTGTTCCCACATCTGCTGTTGGAAACATGGGAATCAGTAAGAAGAAAATATTTTTTATGTCAAATGTTTTTTTTTTATTTATCAACTTTCCTTTCATCATTGACTGCTGTGACGAACAAATGTCCTTCTCTTTAATATATTCATATTGTACTTAGTAAATGCAAAAACACAAAGATTTTAGCCATCGATTTTGTACATAGTTAAAGAAATGTCAGTATAATCATTTTTCTTATTATAGTGTCTTCAAACATGGCAAAGTCTCAAAGGAAATAGACCCAAACAGAAATGCGTGTATTGTAGGCAAGAGGACACTAAGTTTGGTATATTCAAATATGCTTATTTCACAGGTAAGATGAACATGCTGTGAAGACGACTTTTAACTAATTCATTCAATTGTCTTTTATGTTATGAATATAAGATATTTAGTCTAAAGCGCTAAACCACTTCTTCCTGTAGAATGAAAATTTGATGTACAACAAATAGAGTAAACGCATGAAAAGATACAAAAAAAATCTTGTGAACAAGATCACTCAAACAATATGAAAACATGATGAAACAATTACAAAGTAGATTTTATAGAAGACAATATCTCGCAATTGTTACCAAGTAACATGGTTGGTTGTTATTAACTACTTTTGTACAATTCTTTGTCCATATTGTCGTTTTGAAAAATTTTTCTAAAATGATCTTTTCTGGCAATTACATTACAACGTGTATAACATTTTAACGCACTTTCATGAGTGCTTATAAAAATGAAAAAGGAAAAACAATAAATGTGAAAAAAAGATGTATATACAGACATTATTCAGCAAAACAGTATACAAAATGCTAAAGATTGAACAACACGGACCCCACCAAAAATTTATGATAAACTAAAGACTTGAAGCGTCAGCAGAGATTTTTCCACGTGGAACATGCGTTATATTACTCCTGGTATCGTAAATTGATGGTTCATTAAGTGATGAACTTTAATACACTTGAAGATTGGCAATGTCTCTTCACTAACCATAAGACGTAATAGTTTTCTAAATAAATATCCCTTAGCCTTGTAACTAACCGAACGTATATCATTATATTTGTTTATCATAATTTTTATTAGTTCTGTTAATTTTTAACAAAATGTAACAAAGGTGATCCGTTATCGTTTTAGTCAAAGACAATGTCTTCAACAAAGGCGATCTTCTTATATTAAACACTACGATAGATGATGGTAAATGTAAGGCTTCGCTGTGTTACATAGAGAAAATAAGTGACAAACCATCAACAAGAAACTTGACAGGTATAATAACTAACTCTAATGACGGTAAGTTCCAATAGGAAGTATACCACTAGTTCATGGCCCCATTGCTTTTTATTTTAAATTCCTCAATTTCAAGCAGGCACAGCTGTTTTGTTTTAAGTTCAAATAAAATGTCAATCATTGCATGGCAAAGCAACACTTTATGGTGTCTTGTACTGAAAAAAGTCCACATACCTTAAATGAGGTATAAGAGAGAACTGGTTATCGGAACTTCCGATGCACCAAAACAGGTACTTCAGATTAGACAATCAGGCAAAATGTACCCTCCTTTTAAAATTTCATGCAATTTTTTAATTATTCAAAATTATATGTAAAAATATGTTTTACAATGATCACCAGTCATTCAGCTTTCATTTGATACCAAAATTACCTAAATATTCTACATATTTTGAAAGTTACACCCATGTGTAGGAACTATTTTGTGTTAAATATGTACTACTTTCTGGTATGTGCTTTCTGACCGGGCCCGAATTAGTGGTGTTACACCAGTATTAAAAACAAAACTGTAATCATGCGCAAATACTTACCTTAATTCAAGACAAAATGAAATACTATACCAACTATTTTAGACGGGCAAACAAAATTGACATTGAAGGGACTATGTATAACCTAAGTAAATCATAAGTAACAGGATCTAGTAACCGAAAGGAAAAGCATTAAGAGTCTTGTTATTTCTGTTATTGAAAACAAAAATGACAGTTTGTTTAATGAAATTGTCATGATATTGAAATGGTTTAAGTAATATTATTAACTGTTAATATTATATCACTTTGACGGGTCTTAACTTTCTTTATATACATATTGAGGAATATATATGAATATCTTACACTTCCAATTTGTCTTTAGTGAAAAATTTAAAAGGTATTATATTTGAATTGCGAGATAGCATGAGCATCATGATGATTTGTATTCTCTTACCCACACCAGAAAGGCTTTGGTCATCATTTGGTGAGTTATACAGTAAAACTGTATCAGATGGTAGCGGATTGTACCTTATGAGATTCCACTAGGAACATTTTATTTCATAACGTTTCTGCATAACATGAATCAAAATGAATGAATACATTTTTAGATGATCAAGTGTCTGCATTAAGGAGCTGTGATGTGGAATTAAAACTTCAATTAAAGTCTCGACATTTTGATATTTGTCCTGCCGAAAGAATAAAAGATTCCACTATAGAGGTAAAACAAATACATACATTTTAATTGTTTGAAAATAACTTATATGTATTTAAATGTTTCAAGTTTCTGCTAAACTTAGGTTGTTTCAATTTGTTTCATTGCTATCATTCTAATTCAAACTAATTGCTTAATGTTGATCACGTAATCGCATGTTTAAAGCTATGAACATTTTGTCCAATAAGTCTATTCATTTAGTGATTAGCTCTATGCAATCATGATTCGTTAAAACCAACTGTCTATGTCAATTTATAAATATATGAATTTAAAAACTCACAGTTCAAAGTACTATGCATTTATGAACAATTTTGGCCATATCAGATTAAAGTAAAATTATGGAGTTAACTGTTGATTATTTTATTGTTTATAATTAAATAAACATTGAAATTAAAAATCTGCAAAAAAATATGTTAAACAAATTTTACAGAAGTAATTCACCTAGCAAATTTAAATTTTTCAGTTCGTCCATTCCCTCAATGATATGCTTGTCCTATATAATGGTTTATCATCAATGATTGAGACAAAGTTGTTCCCTCATGTGTTAGAACCAGGCGATATTAATGTGTACGCAAATATTTCTGCTAAACGAAATCACCAGGAATTTGATATGCTGATGAATAAGGTAGGTGTGTTGATATGTCTATGAACAGAAGCAAAACAGATAAAGAATGTGACGTAATATCGTCCGCATTTGAATTATGTGATTTTTTGCCATGCCTTCAATATGTTCTGAAGGATAAGTTTCCTTTATTACAAATAACAAATATGAACGTTCAGGGGCGGATCCAACCATTTATAAAAGGAGGGTGGGGGGGTTCCTTACCCAGGATAAAGGGGGGATTCCAACTATATGTCCCCATTCAAATGCATTGATCGTCAAAAAAAAGGAGGGTCCCCCCCTCCCCCTGGATCCGCCACTGACGTTATAATATCAAAAGTTCAAATATAGCAACCTTAATTTGCAGGACAAACCGAGAGAGCTCAGGGAAAGTATCTCCTATACAGGCATCAATTGTGATACGATTTAATTCCTATCCAGTGGCAGCTGTCAAATAGAAAAAATAAACTGTATTATAAATGTATGATATCAATGACAGTCGGACTCATTTTCATGAAATAAAAATCATTAGATCCATCAGCAAGGCTGAAAACCATCAAAATGTCAGATTGAGGAGTTTTTATTTCAAGGTCATGTTCTAAATTTTGAACTCTGCTTGTTATCTTTATTCCAAAGAAACCGTAACAGTTAATGATAAGATGCTTTTGCCAAATAATTGTTCACATTGGAGCAACTTCAACGCATTGAGTCGAAGTGTTTTGGTGACCCTTTATAGGAGTTTTCCCCCTTATATATTTGAAATCACTGAAACTCCCAAATTTTACAATTTTATGACCTAGGGTCTTTCGATATGAAATCACTGACGTATGACCTTGAAATTGAGCTCAAGGTCAAAGGTCAATCTGACGTTTTAGATTTTGACCTTTGCTAAAAATTGATACCGGTTCATTATAAAACCATAAGGTCTTTTGCATTAGGTTGGTAGACATATGACCTTCAAAAGGGTCAACCGGAAATTACATTTTTTTAACCGGAAGTAGCCATTTGCACACTAATATAATGATAAAGTACCTAGAAACCTTTTATTTTTAGAATCAGTTTGAAGTCACCAATCATATGAACACGAAGTGACATCTTCTAATAACGTTTTCTAATCTAATCCTTTATCATCGAAAGTTGAGGTGGAAAGACCTTTAACTGTTCTCTGAACAATTTTTAATCGTTTTCTTTATAATCTAGCTGCAGTAGTACTAACATTTGCATTTAGACGGTACTTTTTGTTAAGTCAGTGCAAAATTTTTTTATTATTATTTTCACTCTAACAATCAGTCAATTGCGTTTACATTCGGAATAATTCAAAATATACGATTGATATAATGATCTTTCTGATTCTGTGTAGGACGATTTTAACCATAAACAGAGATCAGCCATTCTAAATGCAGCAGATATGGTTACGAAGACAAATTCATCAAATCGTGTCTGTATCATACAAGGACCTTTTGGTACAGGGAAGACGGATACAATTATCGGTATTATCAAAGGAATATATCAGGTCTGTTCAAGCAACCGTCATACAAAATACACTTATATATATATATATATATTAAACTATTTTTTTTTAAATATGACGATAGTATTAAAACAAAGACAATGTCTTCAAAGTAATGGGTTTAAACAGCCCTTTCACAAAACAATTGTCACTACTTACTTTGTGAGTTTTCTGTCCTACAACAAATAGTTCAAAATTGCAGATAAGACTATTTAGTAATAGATGAAATTTCTAACTTAAATTTTTGTTGGATAAAATTATAAAACTTTTACACTTACGTTACTGATTTTGATGAGGTTTGTGTTGCAAAATATTTAATTTTCACTGAAGTGTTTGTGGACTGATTTTTTTTGGTCATTTTGGGGCATGTATTTGTTTGTTTTATTCGACTTTTGATTTTGGAATCGACTCTTGGTATCTTTTGATCGCACTTTTTGTTGGCGTGTTAAAATATCAATGCAAAAAATTACCATGTTTCTGACTAAACTTCATCATGAATGTTTAGACCACTTGCTTGAACATGCTAAACAAATTAATACATAGGCGCTGTATAACTAAATGGGGTACACAAAACGAGGGTGATAACAATTAGCCAACTTTGTCTGCGACAGTAGAAATACTTTTAAGGGGTTGATAGCAACTTGCCAAGAGTGAACTTGTTGGATTTGTACACAGTAAATCCTTAACAGCTTTTACTGCGTCGGATTTGCAGTTCTAAGTTTACATTTAAAGCCAAAAGTTTAGTAGTAAAATGCTATTTGCACGTTATGAAGATACCCCTGTTGGTGGACTGCAAGTCCCCGAAGGTATCATCAGTTCAGTAGTCATTGCTACAGAATTGACATGATCTATGACAATCCTTTTTTTTTAAATTTTGTTTTCATAAATTTACAAATTATTTTAAAACTAGTGATCTAATCCCTTCAGGCATAACTGACCGTAGATGGATTTTGCTTTTATTTTTATGTCCTTTTTAATCTTATAGTTCCTCATATTTTCAAGTACTTATTAATCCTTGGCTTTGGTTTTGTGGCTTTGAAACTTTCTTATGAAGGCGAATCCAGAAATAAAGACGGAACTCATTTATGTTGTGTTTCAGCACTAGCACTGGGTAGATACGACTCCTTGTGGCTTATTAAACAGTCAGTGCTTTGGTACTGACATGATTTATAAGAAACCTTTTTTATCCTGCGTAAATGCATTTAGAAATTATTTTAAGACTAAGGTTCCATCACCCTCAGTCAAAGTTGAACTTAGATGCATGGGCTTGGCTCTTCTTTTTACGTCCTCTTTGGTTATATTACTCCTCACGTTTTTATGAAAAAGAGAGGCGAAAGATACCAAAGGGACATTCAAACTAATAAGTCGAAAATAAACTGACAACGCCATGGCTAAAAAAGAAAAAGACCAACAGACCAACAGACCAACAATAGTACACAAAACACAACATAGAAAACTAAAGACTGAGCAACAATAACCCCACCAAAAACTGGGGGTGATCTCAGGATGAAAGAAATTATACATCATTTGGTTTCAATTTTTGGCTTTGATTGTTTGATTAATGTGAATTGCTTAGGGCGCAACTACGTTAGATAGTGTTTTTTTTTTATATGAAGGCAACCACAATAAACCCTTACAACCAACGTCTACAATCCGAGTGCCACAAAAGAAGAATTGTTTACCCTTCCAAAACACCTACCTTCAACTTCAGTTTTTGTTGAGGTTTCGTGTACCTCGATCTTTCCTATTTTGTGTTATGTATTGTTATTGTTATTGCTTTTCTTTTTTGTCATTATGTTGTCTGTTATTATTGGACTCATGAGGATTATTTCCCCTTTCTCTCTTTTCTTTTAGCTTCTATTTTTTGAATTTGGTATAGTGTTATTTCATTCGGATACACATGTTTGAGTTTTACTTTTGATCTCTACGATTTGGTCAGCCTATGGTGCACCCGAGATCACCCCAAGTTTTTGATAGGGCCCATGAGGCTAAGTCTTTAGTCTTCTATGAAGTTTTATAGACTGCTGTTTGTCTTATCCTCGTTTCACGATTTTTTGCCAAATGTTTAGTTTTGAATATCTATCTGGCATCTTCTGTCCCTTTTTTGTGAGACTTATCAAGTTTTGAACTGAGAATATTAATGCAATACCAATGAATCGTTCCGTTCTAAAAATACTTAAAAGGAAAATATTGTATTATATTTTAACAAAGGACAAAAGAGGGCATGGAAAAGAATGTGTTGAGCTTCTTTTGACAGTATAAAAATGTACATGATAATTCAGACCAAAACAATGAATCATGACAACAATAAATATTGTAACAAGATAGTACCTGATTTGTATTAGGTTTTTAAATTTCTTTAAATGATTTAAATAAACGAATTAGATGGTTTTATTTATATTCTTCAACAAAGATTTGGAACACTTTTAATCAACTCTTTGTTTACATTTTAGAGAAGTGGTGGCAAATGCTGTATTGGCTTATGTGCGCCTACTCACATGGCAGTAGAGAACCTAATGAAAAAGTTGATAAGTGAGAGGACAAAAATGGAAGTGAATAGTAAGTTGGAAAGCTTTTTAATTTTTTTATGACCAGTGTGTTTTTTTTTATCGAATACAATTTCAACATTTTCAGTTTTGAGGGGAACTAGAAAACAAAGTATTTTCATTCATATCTATCTTTATGTTAATTCAATTTACATTTATCCTACTTTTGATGTAACTTTCATTCTTATGCAATTAATTTGTGATCACAATTTTGATTAGCCAACATCATATAGTTTAGAAGGTAGATTCCACAGTTTATTAGCGGTAAATCAGGGGAGCCGCCATTGTGAATTTATGAATTTGTATGTATGTGAGTTTTTTCAATAATGAATAAAAACACAGAAAACTCACATGTAATTGTCCTCTTCGTCAAATATTATGTCATTCTAAAGCTAACAAATATCTGGTGGTAGCCTTTGTCGCCGGAATCGTATCGCTGACGTCATATTTACAAGGTTCCAAAGTCGAGAACAATGTTTCTCGGAATTCTCTTGTGTGATTTTTACACCGAAATGAAATAACGTCTTAAATTGAATATATGTTAGTTTTGCATTATAATAGAGATAACTGTATTGCATTTTTTCAACATAGTCTATGTAAAATATCCATTAACATAGCTCTGCCAGGTTATTACACAATTCTGGCCTTGCAAATAATCTTCATATCAGTAAAGGATTTTCAAAATGTTATGATATTATTTTTTCTATTTCGAAGTTGTGAGATATAGACCCGTCAGCACCATTTCAAGAAAATACAAAAAATTCTATTATTAAAAGAAGTCTTTCGAATTAAGGGCATGGGACTCTTAATATACGGACGCCATCACGAGTTGGTTGACCGTTATGGAATAACCGTTTCACAGATGATATCGGATATGTTCCTTATGTCGTAACTACAATATCCTTCCCTTTTCACGAATGTGACTTACCGAATTAGACTATTTACCGGATTTGTAATAACATAAGCAACACGACGGGTGCCACATGTGGAGCAGGATCTGCTTACCCTTCCGGAGCACCTGATATCACCCCAAGTTTTTGGTGGGGTTCGTGTTGCTTAGTCTTTAGTTTTCTATGTTGTGTCATCTGTACTATTATTTGTCTGTTTGTCTTTTTATTTTTGGCCATGGCGTTGTCAGTTTGTTTTCGATCTATGAGTTTGACTGTCCCTCTGGTATCATTCGTCCCTCTTCTTTAATATAGTTGATTTTCCTTGATTTGAATTATTTACTGAATGCTTAAAGATATATTGTATGTTTTAGTTTTTGCCGCAAACTTCAAAACTTATATAAGAATATAAATTTTCAATTTGTTTAAATGATATTTATACAAAAAATTACAGAGACTGGAACAGGCATTCGATTAGTCCTAATTGGAGACGATAATAAATACCACTCGGATGTTCAGAAATACTCACACAAGACATGTTTACAGAAAGGTCGGTATATTACAGCCAATTGTTTTATTTGGCTATTTGAAAAACAAGAAATACGGTATATATGACAATATAAGGGAAATGTATGTAAAAAAAAAAAAGGGAACTAAAAAACCTGTGTTGAAAAAAGACATACCATTACCAAAAAATAAAACCGAAAGAGTAAATAACAGTCTTCAAAACACTAAATAGCAAACTGAATCTGAGCAACATGGATTCCATTAAATCTCATAAAAAGGACGGCGCTCCGAAAGATCACCAGCCATACTTTACTATATTTTTAAAATGATAATTTCATTTTGTATGCCTCTTAATTTGAAATCTAAAAATATGAATCAAATATGAAAAGTCAAGATCTTTAAGAATTATAAGCATAAAGCATGTATAAGTCCACTTATTAAAATTGAAAACATTGCTGAAAATCTGAAGTTTCGATATTACAATTATTGTCTGTACAATTGTCAGAAAATTCCACCCTGTAGAATTACTTTTGAGTATCAACAAAATTCCAATTTAATGAGGTAATGTGTATCTTATATAATGTGAATAGAGAGTTATGACGGCTATAGGGGTAGAAACAATCATTGTATTTTCCCCACGGAACAAACAGATTGGATGCATTAGAGCAATGAAAATAACCGGCAATTATTCCAGCATCAAAATAACACAAAATTCTTATAAACGTAATATACTTTCTAGAATACAAAACAATGTTGTTTTTTTTTTATTTTAGAGATAAAAAGGCATAAGAGAAAAACTGCTGCATCAAGTGTTTCAAATGAAATCAAACGATTGGATACAAAAATTTCCTCTATGAAAGAAATGTCTCTTAAAACAGAATTAGACGTATGTATTAAAAGTGTAAACGTTATTGAAAACTTTTCATTTCAAAATCAATTAAAAAAAGTCCATACAAAGGATAGAAATATGATAAACCATTTGGATTATGTTCCTTTAAAGAGAATTAACAACAATCATAATCGGATCTCTTCTCAAAAAATAACCAAAGAATGGAAAAATAATCTCTCTACATTCATATAGTTCCGGAGAGGAACACCCAAAGAATAAATTTCAAATAATATAATTCTTTAAATTTCAGGCAAAGTGTGCGATTGATATGAAAAAGATTTTGAAGAAACGTGATGATCTGATGATTCAGGTAAAATATTAACATCTTTGATATGTCATAGATAACGCCCTTTCACGTATTTCAAAAATTTGTTCACATTATTTTTTCATACAATTAAAAAGAAGGCACATTTTCTTTTGAATATAAAATATACATGGTAGCTCAAGTCATGTTCGCAATTGAAACAGGTCGGCACGGATTTCCATTAGAAATACATCACTAGATATTTATGTAGAGACCAAGTATAGATTTAGCGATAACATTCGATCTAGTTCAAAGCAGGGTTAATTCATTTCATATTGATATGTCCTGGTCATGAACATGCATATGATATTTTTGCTGAAATTTAGCATGCAATCAATATCTATATACACAGCATGGTAGCTGCAATCAACTTGAAGTCAACTTATTAGTGTTACTGCATCACCAAAAAGATTTTAAAGACATTTGATAAGTGATTGTTATAAAAAACAATTCGGGTGATATCAAATGGACATTCAAACTCATAAATCGAAGACAATCTGACAACGCCATACGACGAAAAGAAAACAAGAATCTACAATACACAACATAGAAAACTAAAGACTGGGCAAAATGAACCCCACTAAAACCCGAGTGTAATCTCAGGTGCCCACATTCGATGCTTATTCAAGTACATGATTAAAAATGTTATTGACAAAAATGCTGTTCGTTCAAATGACAAATTCTTATCAGGTGTCGTTATCAATATTTCAGACTAGAGATGAAGAGGAGACACTGAAACACAATGTTTTGTTACAAGCAAACGTCATATGCGGAACTTGTAGCTCTTTTGGGGAACAGTTTTACCTAAATGCGTTATCATCAGTAAAGAACAAGTGCAGGGAATCATTATTTACCTGCTTGATCATGGATGAGGTAAAGTAAAAGAAAGAAAAACAATGTCAGCGATCATCATACTTTTTGCCATAGCACATGCAATTATCTATCATTATTATATTATGACCATTGTTGAATATCTCTTGTGTGATTTATAATTTGAATTATTTCCTTTAGAAAGTATTCTTCTTTGTACATGTGCATATTTTCTATATGTTGCTTGTTGCTTTGTATTGGAGAGGATGTATAAAGGCTTTCGCCTGTTATCCAATCCATTTCAGTTATTTTCTGAATAAAATATGTTTAAACTAAGAAAAGAAAAACATTTAGGTGGAAAACCCTTAAATTATTAACAATTCAAAAATTATAAAATCGAAAATTTGCTACCATCGGTTTCGAAGAAAAGATCTAGGAAACCATAGAAATTTAGACTTTTGCAATGAATGAATTTCAGTACCTTCTCAGACGATTATAAAAAAAATAAAACTTCAATTCTCTGCGTCTGTTCAAACATCCTTTGATTCTCTATTATTTTATATTTATGCATTTGCCTACAAATAAACAATAGATAATTCAGCTTGAAATGAATGCTTAACCTTACAGGCCCAACAGGCAACAGAGTTAGAAACACTTGTACCTCTGCAGTACGGGACAAACAAACTGATTTTGGCTGGAGATCCGGAACAACTTCAACCGACTGTAAGATCCCAGGTATGTGTAACCAGAACAAGCAGAGTGCTCTTCAGATTGATGAGTAATATAGTAACTACTTTTACTAACAGAGATACATTTTTTTTTAATTCCAACTACACCAGTAAGGGTTTTTGGAAAAATTATTGCAATCATATCGTCATTGAATAATATCTTGTTTTAGATGGTTCAGATCAAGATGATCATATTAGTTTAATATCTGGTGAAAATTGCAATGAGATAAGCCTTTTTCTCTTTTATAGATATCTAGAGACAAAAGTTTTGACCAGTCAATGTTCCAACGGTTTTGTGATCACTTCCGGTATGAAAATTGTAATCCTATTTTAGTATTAGATACTCAATATAGATCACATCCAGAAATTGCGAAGTTCCCAAGCAACGTTTTCTATGGTGGTCAATTAAATACACACAGGTATATTATGTTAACCTCTTATGTGACAGACTCTTAGTTAAATGTGTTCGGTCAAATCAAATTCAATTACATATATGTTTGTACATTGAACAATGTTATTCACCAAAAGTCAAATGCTATATAAACCATCCCTGAAATCTCGTTAGAAGTAACTGATAGATTATTACCCTTTCTTCAACATAACTTATTTAGTAACTTCATTAAGATACGCACTTTCAAGTCAAGTCAAAGATGTAATATACCATATTGAATACCACGACCAGATATAAACAGATTCAAGCCAGATCTCCATTTCGAACGGGTTTTATTTTCTAAACTGTGGAAATCTGCCAAATTGAAAATATCAGACTGGTACTAATATTTTTAAAACATAGTGCTTTTCTGGCGAAACTCGGTATCTCATATATTCTGTTTCCGTGTGTCTTTTATCGTTTGTTTAACAATTTACTTGTATTTCTCATATAACCATAAAAATTGTAGCTAACAAATATTAGATTAATCATTATTATATTTAACTTTAACAAGATATGTTTTTTGCTTATTAACAGAATGACAAAACTACTTTTAGAAATTATATTCGTAGGTATTCGAAAGAGAGATGTGAAAAATTCAACTTAAAACCTTATATTGTTTTCAATATAGACAAAAGGTAAGAACATATTTTAGTAATTTATACAAGAAGTATTTTAACACCATTTAAAGTTAAACATATGAAAACAGAAGACAAACAAAACACCATGCAATTCGTTTACCCTCTAAGAATGTGCACGTTTTCACTTGATTTTAAAACCATCATCTTTGAACTGTTCATTATATGTCAAATTGAGCCAAAGTTTAACAAGCGCATAATGGGGAAACAATTTTTTTCATTTAAGGATGTATTCTTCTCATGTTTCAGTCTCGTTGAAATCTCGTTCGGAAATTATTTCCAAAACATGTGATACAAGTAGAAAATATTAATGAATTTAAAAAATATCATAATTGAATTAAACTCTGTGAAAAAAATGTGTACTTACAATAAGTAGTTTTTGAGGAATAAAATTTTAAAATTATTTGACCAATCATCAGCCAAAATATTGAGAAAATGGGTGAGGGTTTCAAAGAAATTATTTTACCAGAAATATGTACATCCCATTTCAATTTTTTGTTTACAAAATTCTTAGATATGTATTTTTTCAATCATTTATAACAAAGAAGTTGAAATAACATGTTTTTTGTTCTAAAATAAAAAGAGAAAACTCCCAAATTTACGAAATTGACAGCACCATCAATTTGACACGAAAAAGCAACAATTTTTTATAAAACTTTCTCATAGCAACATAATATATATATTAATTCAAATGTATTCAGATTGGCACACTTCATCTGTAGTGAAAGTAAAAAAAAGAAAAAAGTTTAATTTTAAAACTGTGATTTTTTTCATGATAATAGCCCAAAAATGGGTAAAAATTGATAAAAAAATAGGAAAATCATTAAAATTGGTACTTTCAAATGGCTGTAGCAAAAAAAGAAGTGCACCACCATATGATTTTTTTCATCAATTACTTTCTTACAGTTTTATAAACCCAAAAATCAGGTTAAGAAAAAAGTTTAATTCTAGAAATGTTTGGCTCCTCGGAGGTGTACGTCCTTAATATGACGATGATCAGAAAACTGATTTTTTTATCCAATTCTTTCTATCGATGCATGCAAAGCAGGAGATTCTGACCATGTCGGCGCATCCTGTCTCGTTCCTTTTGGATTTCATTCGAATCCCTCAGGTTTTGTTTGTTACCTTGATTTGTGTCTTTCTAATCGATTTACGAGATTTGAAAATCCATCTTTATCTTTCTACCATGTTCATAAACAAATATGTCACAAAGAATACAAAATTACAACTGCCATAGTTTACAAAGACAGTTAATAAATAAGATGCAGTTTTACCTGGAACCCTTTGAGGCTTGCACTCATTTTGCCATAAAAAGGAACTAGTCACGGGAAGTAGAATAAAGACCTGACAAAAATCAGTTATTGAAAACTAGATTATCCTAAACAGATTGACAAGTACTAGATCGTCTACTTGTTGTCGCTGCAAAACAACAAATAATGCTCCTAGCAATAAAAAGTCTGTCGGTGGTTTTTGTATTACAGATTTTTGCGAAGATACATGGATTTGACTCAGTATTGGGGTCTTCAACATCGTCAACGACGTTATTCAGGGTTCTCTTATTTCTTAATTTATTCGTAGTTTATGTAAATCTTAAATCTCTTTTGTCTATCTGTGACGTTTGCCTATCCATTATTGAATCATATTTGCTATATACTTTTGGAAGCAACATTTCATGTGTTCAATTTGGTATATTTGATAATGATTATAAAATACAAGTTAAGACTTTTTATTCATAAATTTGAATACGTGATTATTACATGATTATTAGAATCAAAACTTTGTGAAGTCTTTTACTTTATATATTCGTTATAGTTCTACTTAATATTGGTAAGTGTTTATACGTAGATATTTATTGTTGGTTAATTTGGGTTTAATTATGTATTATGTATTAAGAATATATTTGGACTGGTGTTGGTTTTCATTCTTACTTCACGCTGTCATCTTCGTTTTTTCATGAAACGCTGAAACGCTTCTCATTTGCTCTTAGATTTGAAACTCCTTATATCTTTTATGATATAGGGTGGAATATGATAAGAGTCAATGTTTCACCGTTAAATAAATATAACCTGTATAACGAGAAATTACTTAAATTCGTAAAAGAAATATTGGGATGTTGTTTCCAATCCAACAACAAATTGTAACCATTTGAATATAAATACCAATTGTTTATGCTAACGTTATCGAAACTTTTGCCTTCTCCTTTTATGCTTTATTAAATGCTTAACGGCAAACGGATCATATGTTTGAATTACTTTCGGGGAGTAGTCATAGAATAAAGGTAATTCTTCCTAATACAATATTCATGTCTTATCGATCAGGAGTACATCGAAATTAGTTACATCCAATATGTAGAGAAAAGAACGAAATGCACTCTGGGATTAAAAATGTGGTGATAAGACACAATTTTGGAAGGAAACTGCTCTTTTTGCAATGTTTTTCGTTTTAACTTCTTATTATTTCATATTCTTGTAGGTTGCTTTCAAAACTAATCTTTGTCTTTTAGCACACAAAACATTACTACAGCTGACATAACGATATCCTTATATGAGTTCCTATACTCTTATGTACATCAAAATACTAAACTAACACATACGGACTTTGGCATCATTACATCATTGAATCACATTAATAAAATCAAAGAAGGTTTGGCAAACAGGTAAGTCAATTTTTAAAAACTAAAGTTTACTTTCAATTTCATATATTTTTCGGCTCAACATACAACTATATCTTCACAATGTGTTAGCCTGTGAGGCTTTTATTAATGTCTAGGCAGAAATAATTCATAGACAGCTATCAACAAAAGAAATGCATATCCTTTTGAGAACATTTTTTTTGTTATTAAAAACGTTTGCTTATTGATATTTCACCTCACATACGTGGAAAGCACTGCATCAATATTATTTTGTGTGCCAGACGCGTGTTTCTTTTACACGATATTTAACAGTGGCGCTCGAATTAAAACAGCTGGAAAGCTAAACTAATTACAAGTTGAATAAATTCACATCAAATGAACATACCAATGATATTTTATGTCAGCACAAAAGTGCTGCCTACTGGGCTGATGATGATACCATCTGGGGACGAAGCATCCACCAGCACTGTCATCGACCCAGTGGTTGTAAAAAATATCATCAAACATACTAAGCTAATAATTTGGTATGGCACGTACGCGTTTCGTCTGCAGTAAAGAGTATTCAAAATCCGTATACTTTGTGAATGATTGAACATGATCTTTATCGATAATTTTCAAAAGACATATCCATGTACATTGTTTAAATTGTTAACAACTATATATCGTTTTAGTAAGATTATCATTCAGTTTTTTTACAGCGTTATTACTCATTTAAATTATGTTTTTAAAATACTATATTATCACCGCAGAAATCTTTCAAACGTGGAAGTGGACACCATTACTGGTTTTCAAGGCCGAACGAAAGAAGTTGTCATTTTAGCATGCGCAGAGGATGATATTGAGAAAAAAGAGCAAGTATTAATACCAATCTATTCGACATCATACATCAATAGATTAACTTGCATTTAATCTAACTATTATCGTCAAACTGTAGTTAACAATTCGTAGCCTGTTTTTTAGTTACAATGTGAATTTTTATATGTTCTTGCTGTACATCACTATCACATAAGTCTTTATATTGATATTGAATAAGAACCGATTCTAATCATGTTCTTCTCTCCATTTACTATTAGAACTACTAGTAACCTTTCAATCAAGGGGATGTTAATGCTCAAAAACTGGTTATCTAGCTGCTTTTGCGACTCAACCTCTGAAAATGTTTGATCTTAATTACAGAAACTTTATCTATCCGCTTTAATTTGAATATTTAGGGAAGATGTTTTGTATATTAGCAGATTGTTTGGATATATAATTCTTCATACTCTTATCTTCTATTCAACTGGAATACATGGTACTATTACGATATGTGCATTCATTTTTTTTCTGTTTGATTTTAAAGGCCTGTATTAAGCCAATAAATCCAGTTCAAGGGTAACTAATGTTGGTAAAGTTAAAGTGAGTGGATGAGTTTAGTAGGTTTTAAGAACGACCATTTTTACTCATTGGATTAAATACAGATTTTAAGAGGCTCTTGTTTGATTTACCGTTAGTATACACACAGTATGAACTTTGCTGTATCACATATATGATATATATTTTTTCATTCACATATACAGAATTTATCAAATTTTATCTGATGCTTAACTTTATTTGGTTGTCGCTCCAGCAGCCAATGAAAACTACTTAATCCGTGTCTACGTATAATAGAAAGCATGTAACATTAGAATTGATATTTATAATATTGTATGCACTCAAGATTTTTTCAAGCTAACATAACAACTTTGTTCCCTTCTATCTGTATTTACACTTGAATGTCATTTATAAAATTTAGTATATGTGGGCGATTTTTGACGCTGACGTTAGCAACTACAGGTCGTCAACAATAAGCAAACCCCATACTAAGTTGTGATAAAATTAACAGTACCAATGTTACTGCACCAGATACGCAATCAAACTAAAGAGGACATGGCACAATGTAAAACAACTGAAAAGAGAAAAGAACGGCCTGGTTTATGTACAAAAAGACTTAAGAAAAGTACATAATAGAGAATATGGTTGAGTTAAACATATTTTCTGAACTCATATGCAAGTGTACATACCTATGTAAAGTCTTATGAATTCAACACTAGAGACTATCAATGGTGTATATCGTGAAAGGAGTGGTTATGTCTCTCTTTTTGCTAAAATCAATATTGAAAGAAAATCGGGATTTTTAATGCAAAATAAAAAAAACATGAAATATTTTCAAATTTCATATTAACTCATCATTTTATTTTATATATTTATTAGATTTCTGACTAGTCAGAACGAATTAAATGTTGCTCTAACAAGAGCCAGGAGTGCATTATTCGTTGTTGGCAATTTTTATACTTTATCTAAGGTAAATATTAGTATTTATGGCATGTGACAACTTTCCAACGCATGTTAAAACCTATTTATAAGTGTCAGACAGTTCAGGCACACGCTCTCATTCCACAAATGCATATAATGATTGCCACTGATGGTAAATCGACCATGAATTATTTACCCATTCATTATCCAGTCTTACAACGTAATGATATATATAGTTCTCGGTAATATTAAATATATTAAAAAAAATCATAGATATGATTCAAAGCTAGTTTTGTGTCTTGATTAATGCTTAGGGGATTCAGTTAACAGAGTAGTATGCATGTGGTATTGGTTGATCGTTAACTGTTTCATCTCATTTTTGCCTACAATTTCAAAGTCGTCTATCAGACATTATCGGGACTCTCTCTGACTATATCACTCTACTCATCTCTTTATGAAATTGCAAATCACGGCTTTGTGCCGTAAAGTACGATGATCCGACCTTAAACTTGACCCGAACTATTCATCGACGTTGATAAGTCTGATCAAGTCTTTTTCCTGGTTTGCTAATGAACCAATGAAATAATAAAACATTATAAACTCAGAATTACATCGACTGCCAAAGTTTTATAGTAAAACAAGTCTGCTGTTTGATACAATAAGAAGCTTTTTGAACTTTTGAAATGTACATCAAATGCAGCAATACAGTATACGTAAAAATTAATAGATCTGTACTTTAATACAAAGTTGTGATAGTCGACATAAGATTTTACGCTCGCAAATGTAGTTTTACTGACATATTAAAAACCATAATTTGAAATTCTCAAAACCAAACATTTAAAAAAATACGGAAACGTCGAATGGGATGCAACAATATTGTCCTAACGTCAACCTTTGGAATAGTCTTTTTTCCAATTCCGTAATTGACTCTGAAGTTAGACATCCATTTGTACGTATAAGTTGTGTTCCTTAGTAGGAACATACATTTTCATTTATAATGAAGGGCTATCTCTAATTCCATTTGATCTTTTTCTTAGCTGAAATCTTTCGATATTAATTGTTCCTTTTCATTAAAAATTAGTTAATTCGTCTATGTATATATCACTTCCTAGTTATCATGCTCTGCCTGGGCAGCAGCCCATTTTTTCCGGTTTAGAACCATTTTCAAATTGGCAAAGGGAAACAACTCGTATTAAAAGTGTGTAATAACCGAAGTAAATTGGGTCGATAAAGGGAAACATTGCTTTTGTTAGTATCTTTTTATTTTTAAGTATCTTTTTCTTCTTCTTCGTATTTGATTGTTTCTATGACAACTTTTTCTGAATCAAACTTTTATCTTTTGATATTAAATACAGATGTTAGGCCTGAACGATATAATACAATGAGACGTGTGATCTTGACCTTTGACGTCAAGGGTAAAATCATTAATTCTTAATGAAAATGTTCAACAATGTAAGACTTACAAACTAGTTGAACATGACCAAAATCGTCAATTGATCCCTTATAGGAGTTATTGCCCTTGAAATATGGTTGCTACTATTTTTTTAGTTTTTTTGCAGAAACTATGATAGAGTGAAACTTTATTTAGCAAAAATGTTCAGCAAAGTAAGACCTACAAATAATTCAACATGACCGAAATCTCCAATTAAACCCTTAAGGGAGTTTTTGTCCTTGAAAGATGATTTGTACCTTTTAACCCCTTATGTAAAAGAGTTACTGCAATTAATAAGTGAGTTTTACCATTTTTTTCATACTAACTTATCTAAGTTAGTATAAAAAAAAATAGTATAAAAAAATGGTAAAACTCACTTTATCTAAAGATAGATAGAGAGAAACTATAAATCGTATGTTTTAAAACATATTAATATACATTAAACAGCAAAATAATCATCGATGCAAGATCTGCATAAAATGTTCCAGGTGAGCGATTCCGGCCCTTTCCAGTGCATCATATGGTTTGCACCTGGGTATTGTGCCCATTTCACTCAAATTATAAATTGTTAAACATACCGATTTGCTATGCTAAAGATGAAAAGGATACATATGTTTAAGTCTACTCAAACAGTTCCACCTACTTTATCATGATTTGCTACCGCTGGGTTGACATGACTGCTGTTGGATATGAGTTCTCGAAGTGTACCCTCCGCCGAGTAGTTTCATCGTTTCAGAATAAATTATTACGTATAATGTACATTTGACAAACAACTGTGATTTTACTTTCTCATGACGTTCGAATTCGATGGTTCTTCTAAATATATACTAAAATATTTTAGTTTGATTTTAGAAAAACGAGTCACTGCAGAAATTGGTTGCTGATGCCAGAGAGAGAAGAGTGTTACGGATCGTAAAAGATGATGACACTGTTTCAAATACAATGTTTAGTGCATGTCTATCTGTCAGAGCGAGGCTAGGACAACAGAACATGTCATTACTTTAGATATACTACAATTCTAATGATGTGGCAGCCATAAACATGTCATAACTTAAGATATACTTCAATTCTAATAATGTGGCAGCTATAAAGTACATTACTTTAAATATACTTCAATTCTAATAATGTGGCAGCTATAAAGTACATTACTTTAAATATACTACAATTCTAATAATGTGGCAGCTAAAATTAGATATACTACAATTCTAATAATGTTGCAGCTACATGTATAATTCGATATACTACAATTCTAATAATGTTGCAGCCATGTATAATTAGATATACTACAATTCTTATAATTGTGGCAGCTATAATTAGATATACTACAATTCTAATAATGTGGCAGCTATAATTAGATATACTTCAATTCTAATAATGTGGCAGCTATAAAGTACATTAAACCCAGCATCTCATTGTGTTCATCTTTATATTTTATTCACACTAATAAATAAAGATCATATTTTATTTGGTAAAATTCATTCAAAATCAGGTTGATTTATGTATTAAATTTGAACATAACTCAGAAAAATACTTTTAGCAATTTTATTGTGGCAGATGATTAAGAATACTTCGAGATTGCTTTGAGACTGCAAGAAGTCTTTCTAACCTCATGACCTATGGTATTTTTATTATTGCTTTGCTAATGTCTGTTGTGGTGTTGTCAATAAAAGAACTGGTTTTTGAGGCGTAAAATGTCGTTTTTTTTAATGTGTGTGTACCTTTTGTTATACCACGAATCGATATTGAAATGGGTTAAATATATCATCAAATACTTTGTTTTGAGCATTGCGATCTCATAAAATTATGCTTCGAATATTTGAATAAAAATACCGAAATGATCTTGAGTTCAGCAACATCAACTTATTGTTTTTGTTTATATTGTAAAATAAAATATTGCTTTGATGCTTACTTTTTTTACCTAGCGCCAATATAATGTCAATTAATTAAAGAATCAAGTTTAAGGCAAAGCATAACAAACAAACAATATAGTGGAATTAACGGCCACAGTTCACATTGAATGACGAGGTCTGACATAACAGAATGCCGACATGATTGATTTAACTGACAAATCTGTGCACCATTGGTAGCAATGGATGCTCAAGTTCCTCCAGGTTAAATCCTAAAGAGAACGAGGGCCATGATCCCCAAATACGTCGGGTCTTATTCGCATCACCCCCTGGTTTCAGGGGAGTAAAGATTAACAATTTAACAATTTCTAGATCATAAAACAGTTAAGCTTGAACTGGTACCAATTCAGAACCGGCCACTCAGGGTAGACATGAGATGGTCTCAACAGAACTTCCTGCGGTAACGCAGGAAAGTAAAAAACTAATATGATCCGACGTACAATACAGGAACATTTAGCATTCCTATCTATTCACAGAGCTGATGGACTCATTCTTTTTAATTCTAGTCGGAAATAATCAACTATGCATCTATATACACCCATTACTTAGAGTAATACATGGAATTTCACTCTAGCACCTAGTTCTTTTAGGTCACAAAATATATTCGACGTAAAACTATTCAGTTTCCAAAAAGTTGCACGGACTGATTAGCTGTATCCGAATTTTAAGTACTAGTAGGAATGCATGTGGTTGCCGATTTAGTACAGGAAGTGTGGTACTTTCTATATATTGATTGATACGAATAAATTAATTTTTAAAGTGTACGTTATACACCCATGGTTTTAAAATATTGGTCACGATACTTGTTGAAAATAAAAATTAAATATATACAAATGTACACAACTTCGAAGGGGTGCCTAGAATAGCATGAATTATATATACAGGTAATGCATTTTTGTAAACTTTGTAGAGGAACATAGATTTGCAAAACTATTAGTGCATATTGCAGATTAACAAAGCAATTAGGTAGATTCGTGGTATTATACCACCATCTTGGATTGTACTTTTGAAGTGAACAATCAGTCTAGTTGTTTCCCAAATCTCCGAATTTGTAGACAGATGTTCAATGTTATTGATTAGACTGTTTATCTCTATGAAGAAAACTTCCTGATTTATCGCATTATTAAAAATATTTTAACAAGTACCAAACATATGTGTTTTAGAATAAATTTGTTCAGCTAAGCCGGTTAAGGCGAGATAACTCTTTTGATAATTCATGATCGGTTTATCAGTGGATGTATTACTGCTAAAATATTGCGTTTTTATGATGATATTAAATATATATATAACATGGATAATACAACAAGAGAAGTGATATCGTCCAAAACAAATTTTGCTGAGGGGATATCATGGAAGGATAACAGCCCCATTATAACAAAGCTATTACAAAAGGAAAAATATTATTGTCCAAGTTTCAAACGTATTAACAAAGAGTAATGCCTTCTTAGCTAGTTCACTTAATGGACTTTTAGGTTGTGGAAAAAGGGGGGGGGGATTCTGATGAGTGTGTATAGACACACTCAAGTGGCAAGATTAAGGGGTTATGATCGTTTCCCGTAATTGTACGTCGGATCATATTAGGTTTTTACTTTCCTGCGGTACGGTTTATCTTATAAGTGATAAACCTTAATATGTAGAATAAACAACTAGGCTCAATCTTATGATAGGTAGGTTTTCACTTTGTCATCTGGAGTATACTATCATCAGGAATTCTTGACTAAACTTTCACTTATCTAAAAGCGGCTAGTTCAAATGTGAGGCTGAAGTCACGTGATGTTTCTAAGCCGGAAGCGAGATGCGGATCCGAATGATGAAATATGTCTTTATGGAAAATAAATATATTAATCAAATCTCTTTCATTAAATTGGTTTATCTTATAAGTGATAAACCTTATTAATTAAAGAATCAAGTTTAAGGCAAAGCATAACAAACAAACAATTTATGTGGAATTAACGGCCACAGTTCACTTTGAATGACGAGGTCTGACATAACAGAATGCCGACATGATTGATTTAACTGACAAATCTGTGCACCATTGGTAGCAATGGATGCTCAAGTTCCTCCAGGTTAAATCCTCAAGAGAACGAGGGCCATGATCCCCAAATACATCGGGTCTTATTCGCATCACCCCCTGGTTTCAGGGGAGTAAAGATTAACAATTTAACAGTTTCTAGATCATAAAACAGTTAAGCTCGAACTGGTACCAATTCAGAACCGGCCACTCAGGGTAGACATGAGATGGTCTCAACAGAACTTCCTGCGGTAACGCAGGAAAGTAAAAAACTAATATGATCCGACGTACAATACAGGAACGGATCATGACCCCTTTTAGTCTTGCCACGTGAGTGAGTCTATACACACTCATTAAATACTCCCCTCCCCCTTTTTTCAACCCCTTGAAAAATTATTAGAAATTCTTTTCCAAATTAGACTTCGGGGAAACGGCGAATTTTGTGAGATGATAGGAAAGTTTCAATACCCCCTTGTATGTTGTTCAAGTATATATCATATCCAATATCGGATAAGTGAGTTCCGTCAAATCTATACAAGTTCATCTCTCGAGCTCGAATATTGGGATGCTGAATAATACAATGCCCATCATTCAAGACATAATTGTTAATAGAAGAGTTTACTCGTTTACGAGATCTCTCGATAGCTTTTCCGTCTTTAGCACAGTGCCAATACCTACGCATTAGCATTTCGCTCCATATGATGCGAGTGTTAGGTAGAAGTAAATGCAGACGCAGAATATCCCTTTCAATATTTTGGATAAGTTTCAAGGTTTTTACTTTTACCAGATCATTGGAACCAAGCTGAATGACTATCATGGCGGGAGGAGAAAACTTGTCAACTGCATGTGATACCTTGGCATTAAATTCATTCCACAACATACCCCTTTTTCCAAACCAGCGTATGTACACCCCTCTGCTTTGAAGACCAATGTTTGGGCCCCCGTTTCTCGTTTTTGCATTAGTCTGTGCCCAATATACAATTGAAGATCCGACGAACCAAATAGCTTTTGAACCTAAAAGGAGGTAATATGTATTATAATATTTAAAACACTTGTTTGAGCTGTAATGAAAGTTAAAGACTCAGATACGAATATAGCGTAAATATGCAACGGAAGACCATCGGCGGCACTGCTTGATAATATCGTCTTTAACACCATTTTTTGCCATATCAGTAGCTCGTCCTATCCGAAAAGAATGAGAACGGATGTGAAACGGTAGTTCACAGAAACCCAAACATTTTTGAAGCAGGGAACAAAATTGATATTTTGTTAAGGCCAAACCATTAAAATGTGTATATAATTTATTTGATCCATTTACGCCGGAGAAGCGAACCTGCAAATAAGATTGTAATAGCGTAATTGGACAGATATTCGAATCGGCATGGCTCTGAATGATCAGGGTTATGGAATTATGCTTTTGATCGGTTTTTGAGCTGCATATTTTTACATGTAATTCGGTTTGACCATTACTCTGATCAAAAGTGATATCTTCACATTTCAATGCATGTCCGCTTTCGTCAGTACGACTGTTTATAGCCAACTCACTTACTCGTAGCATGGCGAAGTACGCAAGAGAAAAGGCAGAAGAAAACAATATAGTTTCATACTGAGAATTACAAACGCTGCGTAGACTGTGAATTAAACGTTTTAACAAGTCAAACGATATCGGCGTTCGAACATCTAGTTTTTGCGGATTTTTTCTACGCAATCCTTCAATCATTTTGCAGATGATGAATGATTTCGTGTTATCTGTTACATTGTTAATCTTGTGTGTGTGGGCCAATCCGGAGATGTAAGTAGAAACAGTAGACGCAGAGAAACCTTTGTACGACAGGTATGCTATAAATTGAGCTATTTCGTCGATAGGTACCGGCCAAATATCACGATAGTTATAAATAATGCGAAACTTTTTTAAACATTCTACTGCTGTTTTATAAGTTTTCCAGGAGTTGGGAGCCATTGAACATTTAAGTAATAGGTCTGCCTCGTCTTTTAACCTTTCCAGAGGTGGGCCGGAATCGTGTATGGGTTTGCATCTGCTGTGGGGCATAGTTTCCGGAACTTCTGAAAATCACAACGAGAGAGGGAGTCAGCAAGAGAATTCAAATGACCTGGGATATGTTCGGCTTTAATCAATATGTTGTATTCCAAGCAGGCCAATACAAGTTTTCTGATCAGGGACATAACACTTGTCGACTTTGAAGACTTTTTATTGATTATAGAAACTACGCTCTGGTTATCTATGTGAAATAAAATTTTCTTGTTTTTAACATGCCTCCCCAAATGTTCAAAGCAACGACTACAGGGAACAATTCTAGAAAGGTAATATCGGTTAAAATTCCAGAAATTATCCAATTGTGGGGCCAACTCGCCTGGGCCAATTTCCCTTCAAAATAAATACCAAAGCCTTTTCCGACCCCACCTGCACTGTCAGTGAACAATTCGAGATCAGAGTTAGATGACCAGAATTTATCCAGAATTACGGTAGTACCATTGTAATTTGATAGAAATAGTAACCAAATATTAAGGTCTTCTTTCATAGCCTTAGTTATTCTGGTTCTGTGATGGGGCCTACGCAAATTGCAAGTGGCGTCAATCAAACGACGACAAAAGGCTCGACCCGGGACAATTACTTGACATGCAAAATTTAGTATGCCAATCAATGATTGTAAATCCCGAAGGGTGATTTTGGATCTACCTAAACAAAAAGAAATTCTGGCTTTTAACTCAACAAGTTTGTCTTCGGGTAGACGCATTACCATGTTGATGGTGTCAAATTCTATACCAAGGAATATCAACACTTCCGTTGGCTCGACCGTTTTTTCCTCTGCTAACGGAACCCCCCAAAGTTTACAAGAATCCTGAAAACACTTCAAAGTGTCGTGGCATTGTGAAGTTTGTGCCTCGCCTCCAAACAGAAAATCGTCCAAATAATGTAAAATATTGTCGTTTTTTGACTGTTGCTGTACAACCCAATGCAAGGC